AGAGAGAGAGAGAGAGAGAGAGAGAGAGAGAGAGAGAGAGACGGGGAACAGGGAACGAGGGAAGACAGATTGGTGGGTGAGCGGGTGGGAGCGGGTGGGGAGAATGGGTAGATGTGGAGGTGGTTGGGTGGGAAGGTGAATGTCAGGAGAAGAGTGGTCTAAGCTATGGGTATTGGTCTGCAGCAACCTGCGACTTCTCTAGAACGTGAGGGCTCGTTGGCAGAGCAGGAGGGTGGGAGGTGCAGGTGGTGGGGGCTCATTCCGTCCGACGGGCTAAGCAGTTGGGGGGGGCGGCGTGTACTTTGGGGGGGTCGTTGATTGATTGGGTCAGAAAGGCCAAGAAGCAGGAGGTGTAGTTGGGTACTCGTTGATTTCTTTCGGTCAGACCGGCCAAGAAGGGGGGGTGGCGAGGTAGGCGGAGTTTGATTGAGTCGGTCATAAACGGGCAACACAAGAAGGAACCATGGACACGTTTGTCGATGTTTTCCTGAACCTTGGGGATGCCGACGACCTGGTTAAGGTCACGGATGAGCTCGATGTAAGCAGCGGGCCCTGGGCATTGGCTTCCCCTAAGGGCTGCCCTGCTGACTGCAACGACGACGATGGAGATATCTTTCTGAATACCGATGACATGGACGGAAATGACCTCGCTGAGGCAGAATCAACCCCCTTTCTAGAGTTCGGTGATAGGGTGGGGGGGGGGCTTCTGTTTGATCGACAGAAGGTTGTTTGTGTAGAAGGTGTGGGGGATCAAGACGGTGACAGCAGCAACCCTTATCCTTCTTGTTCTTATCCTTATCCCAACTACAGTCTACGGATTGGACCACGTGGCGGGATTAACCGCCGCATTCAGCTGCCGCATGGGCGGTTGCCGTTCACTCAGAGAAGTTTCGGTGAAGATTACTCTGACGAACTGTTTGAAGAGCTGGGGGGAAGAGATGGCAGCGATCCCGACGGACCGCTTGGTCCTTCTTGGATCCAGGGGTGTCATCAGACCAGTAGCAGTAAGACGGCCGCGATCCCGACGACGACTACCGACACCTTGACCTCGGCGGCCTTCATGACGTCACCCACCGACCTGATGAATGCGGCGGCTGCGGCGTTGGGGGCGGTGGGGACGGGATCATCGGCAGAAGAGGGGGGGGTTGTTGCCAGCGATCCTTCCTCCGCTGATGACAGCAACAGACATGACACAGCACCGACGATGTTAGAATGCCAGATGGAAGAGGAAGAGGAAGAAGGAGAAGAGGAAGAAGAAGAAGAAGAGGAGGAAGAGGAGGCGGCCTCGTCTGGTAGTAAGAGGCAGGAAGAGGTGTTGATGCAGTTCTACATCCAGGACGCAGCAGACACTGTTGGAGCAGAGGAGGAGGAGGAGGAGGAGGAGGAGGAGGAGGAGGAGACGCCGGGGGGAAGAAAGACGCAGAAGAAGAAGAAGTCGAAGATGGCGACGAAGAAACGAGGAGAGGACAAGAGACGGGAGGAGTACGGAAAGAAAGAGAAAGAGGAGGAAGACGTGAGGGGGGAGGAGGAGGAAGCCGAGGAGAGGCAGCAGCAGCAGGACGAAGAGCAGGAGCTGGATGACGGAAGGGAGGAAGAGGAGGGCCCCACTCCAACGACTGCTGCCGCACCGAAGACCTCGTCGTCTTCTGCCAAAGGTAAGAAGAGGGGGTCGTATAACTGTGGCAAATGCGGATTGCCTAAGAAAGGACACGTATGCATTAGCGCAGCAAAGCGCGCCAGGATGATGAACGCCTACGATTCTCACCATCGTCTTCATCATCATCATGCTCATGCTCTTCCTCATGCTCATGCTCATCCACATCAACAGATCCTTCAGCAACAACACGAGCAATACTTTCGCGGGAACAAGGAGGCGATGATGGAGATGGACGTGGGGGGGATGAGTGGGTTTGCAGCTCCTTCCGCTCGTCGTCCTCCCCCTAGTCATCCTGGAGGGGGGGGGAGGCGGGTCTTCTCCTCCACTCTGGCAGCGACGACACGTGGCACCCAACCGGGACCATCTCCAATGCTTCAGAAGAGGAAGAAAGCGAAAGGGATGGGGAACGAGCTGCTGGGGGATGCGCCCATGACCGGCGGGATGGCGGGATCTGGGCCAACGGGAAACAACACCGCGATAGAGGTAGAGAGCGGGGAGGGTGTAGGGGGAGGAGGAGGAGGAGGAGTGGGGGCGGAGGGGGGGACAACAAGGAGGTGTTCGGCGTCGGCGAAGACAATGGCGCCGAGGCTGCAGATTGTCGAGGAGGAAATCGATGAGGAAGATAACCCTGGCAAGGGGTTTGAACCAGCGGACGAATGGTTACGTCTGCCTGCTCTCACCCCGGTTCTGGCGGAGGGAATGGTGAGGAATGCCCGTCGTCGATTTCGAGAGGGGGAAGGCGCAGGTAGTAGGAGTTGCAGCGGCGCTTCGCAGGGTCTGTCAGATGCCTCGAGAGAGAGGTCTTCTGGTGGAGGAGGAGGAGGAGGAGGAGGAGGAGGAGGAGGGAGTTGTCTGCCCAGGGCAAAGAGTAGTAACCGACATGGCGTAGGCGGCAGTGGGGGTGGGGCTGCTTGTGGGACAATCCCATCTTGGACGTATTCTCCCGCCGCAGCTATGGTGGCCCCGCCTCAACAGTGCGGCAGTGCGGGTGGGGCTCCGGCTTCGCTTCAGCATGCGCGGGCATTCCGTCCTTGTGGGGTGTTCCCATCATCTCAAGGCGGAACGTCAGAAGAGCTGAGTGGAGACTTCGCGTTGAATGCTCCCCTGTCTCCAACTTCTTCATGTTCGTCGACAGAGCGGTACGAGAGAGCGCTAGCAGCAGTGGGCGTGTGCATGGAAGACGACGCGGATGCCAACGACATGGACTGTGCGACCAGGTGAGATGAACCCCTCTTACACACATACAGATTTGCACGCTTGCTCACACATACATACACTTACGCCTGTGAATGCATATGTGGTCGGGGGAATAAGTAAGGTAGTAGCACACGCACATACAACTTCCTGTATGAGTCGCTGAAAGTCCGACGAAACAGTCCGGCACAGTCGTGCTTTTTTTCTCGAGCTGTCTATGGCTAACATGACAACACATGCACAGACACAACAGACTCACAGAGAGAAACACACACACACACACACACACACACACACACACACACACACACACACAGAGAGAGAGAGAGAGAGAGGTCTTCCCTTGGGTTCTGTTTGTACACTGCACTGCACCAGCCAGAGAGAGAGAGAGAGAGAGAGAGAGAGAGAGAGAGAGAGAGAGAGAGAGAGAGAGAGAGAGAGAGAGAGAGGGGTCTTCCCTTGGGTTCTGTTTGTACACTGCACTGCACCAGCCATCCATAGACTGCACAGACACAACAGACTCCATGTGTGTATGTGTGTGTGTGTGAGAGAGAGAGAGGGAGAGATGTCTGCTCTTGGGTTCTTTTTGTACACTGCATTGCGCCAGCCATCCATAGACTGCAGAGACACAAGAGACCGTGAGAGAGAGAGAGAGAGAGGTTTGCCCTTGGGTTCTGTTTATACACTGCACCAGCCAGTCAGCCAGCCATAGAAAGAAGCTAGACAGACAGGCGTGTAGACAATGGCAGGTGTGTTGCCAAGCGTACGCAACTGAAGATCTGCTTTCCAGCTTTCTTGGTTGTGCTCTCTCCTCCTCTTCGCGTTCCTCCGCTCCTCGCTAATTGATGATTGTATTTTTTAGTCGCCGCTAGTGACCTACCATCACCCACAGTCAGTTCGAGAAACTGTTTCATTACTTACGGGGGTATGTTTTAGTCGCCTGCAGTTAACGAAACTACCGTCACTCCCCAGTTACCCGCCGTTATGATGGGGGCGTTATATTTGGGGGAGTGCCCTGCGAGAAGTAGCGTAGGTGGTGGGTAGTGGTTGTGCATCGGTCACTGATCATTGTTGCATGGAATTCGTTTCTGTATCGGTGTTTCGGCTATGTACAGATGCTGTGGAACATTTTTTTTTTTTTTTTTGTTCTTAAGAAGAAGTCTCTTTTATTTTATTTATTATATTTCTAATGCTCAAAGTAGGCCTTGTTGGAATAGAGATACAATTTCCCGTCTATATTCAGCACAAACAATCTTCACAAATATGCAAGAATCCGCAGAACTCAAAAGAATTACCCTTAAAAAATAAAATAAAAAAAATCCTTACAAACAATCCGGAGTGACAAAAAGAAAAAAACGGAGTGACATGTACTGGGGGGGGCATTACCTGTGCACCTTTTTTTTTTTTTTTTTTTTTTTTACCTGTGCGAAGTTTTTAGCATTGTTGTTGCGTGCATATTCATGTCCGGTTCTGCAGGAGGTCGGTGTTTCGGTTTATGTTGGAATAGAGGTGCAATTCCTGTCTATATTCATTCATGTACACTTGTTGTCGACGTGGATTGATTGATTTGTGGTATGTAGTCGGTGTCTCGGTTATGATGCGACTGTGTGGCAACCGCGCACCACTCTTTTTCGGTTTTTTTTTTTTTCGGCTTTGTGCACACCAACGGTTACATTGGGAATATAAATAAATGTTATATATGAACGAACTGGAATATAAATAAATGTTATATGAACGAACTAAGGGCGAAATTCGTTAGGGAAAACGACACAGTAAGTGAAATGTTAGCAGACAGCATGTGTATCTGTAGGACGATGTGGGACGATGTGGGACGATGTGGGACGCCGAATATAGCCTAGCGCACATACGTGGTGCTGAGGTCCGAGTAAGACGGTGAAATGTCCCCGGCTGTAGGAAACGAAAGTACGTCGTCATGTCCTTGGGGACATCCGTTAAAATTGGAACGATACAGAGAATGGAGATTAGCATGGGGCCTGTGCAAGGATGACACGCATAAATCGAGAAATGGTTTAAAAAAAAAAAAAAAAAAAAAAAGAAGGGACGTCGTCATTCTGGGAAACTGAAAAGGAAAAGAGAAAGAAGAAGAAAGTAAGAAAGTGCGGTTCGATAGGAAAAAAGGAGGGAGAGGAATTGTGAGCGATTTGGTCGTTGCAGCTGTACCGTCTCTTGTGTCCTCGTCTGTCAGAAGTTTATCTGGCCGCCATGGTGTGTGTGTCTATGTGTGTGTGTGTGTGTGTGTGTGTGTGTGTGTGTGTGTGTGTGAGAGAGAGAGAGA